GGGGGGGGGGGGGGGGGGGGGGGGGGGGGGGGGGGGGGGGGGGGGGGGTATGACGGTTGATCGCTGTGTCCTTCAAGGTACCGCCGTCTTACTTGCTGCCAACCATTGCAAAGGAAGGGGCGGAGAACCTGCGGGGTGGTCAAGTCCGAGCCCCCACCACGGCTACAGAACACTAAACGCACGTTCTACCGCTTTGGTATTGTTGTCTCTGCACCCGACGGATTGTGTGTGTGTGCGCCCGCCTCGATCTGATCCCACCACACCGTACCGCACTGCACCTGCCATGCCAGGGACGCGCACAGCATGGCGGCCGACTTTCCGGTCCCCGTGGGAGACTCAAGCAACGCGTGTCTCTTCGACTTGAGGGCCGCGATGATTCGCTGCATCATCTGCCGCGTTCCGAAAAAAAGAAAAAGAGAACAAAACTTCAGGGTACGCACATGTGTGTGAGTTGCGCCCCGGGGAGAAAGTGTGTACCACATGAAAGGTCATTACCTTGCAACAAGCTAAAGAAGGAGAAGCAAAAGGACGGCGCCGGCGAGAAGGAGAGAGGGAGAGAGGGAGGGAGGGAAAGAGAGGGAGAGAGAGAGAGAGAGAGGCAGAGAGAGAGAGAAAGAGAGGGAGAGCGGGAGGGAGGGAAGGAGGGAGAGAAAGAGACAAAGAGCGAGAAAGATAGAGACAGAGGGGGAGAGAGGGAGAAAGAGAGAAAGAGAGGGAGAACATGCGACGCCCTCCCCCTAGAGGTAGAGGGGTCCCGACACATCGGGCGCGACTGGTGCATGCGTGCGCATCTTGTACAGCGGGCAGTAGCGCAGGTAACATGCGCGCGCGGAAAACAAGAACTCCGCCTTGAACGCAAAAGTCATCGTTTCGAGGACAAGCAGCTTAAGAGCAAGACAACCAGCACGAACCCCATCTACACGGCAAAAATAACGCGGCACGACACATGCAGCACTGCCGCTTGCACAAGCGCTTCGCCAGACGACCTCTCGCGGGGTGACATCATCGCACCTGGTCCTGCGGAACCATGGGCGTCTCGAACGGAAACTCGACCTTGATCCCGTAGTAGGTCTTGGGGGGGTCTCCAAGCTGCCGGGAGGCGTCCATGTCGCAGGGGGCGGACACCGCCGATACCGGGACACTACCACTATCCTCGGCGGCGGCGGCGGCGGCTGCCTCATCATGCTTGTGCCCCAGGCCTCCGGTATCTCCCCCACGTTCTTGGGCCCCCGCCCTGAGCTTGCCCAACAAGGTGGCCACGTACTCGATCTCGCGGGACCCGCTCCTGCCGTCGAAGCCTGTCCTCTGTGTGTGTGCGTTTCGGGTGACACGCGTTCAGGGGGGGGGGTACTCATAGTCGTGCATGCCGTGGTCGCTAGACCGTTGACCTCGCACCCCTGAAAAGCCGGGTTCTCACCGGACCAGGCTCTCACATCACCAAGCGCGAAGCGCCGTGAGGTAATCGGTCATGGGAGGGGGGGAGGCATGTCGAGGTCCGAGTTGTGCGTTAGATTCGAATTTCGGTTCCAAAAAATGTTCGAACATCGGGATAGGTGTGGGTCAGGGAGGTGGTGGTTGACATGCGGTCAGGGGGGAGAGGGGGGGGCACATGGAGGTCGGAGCCGTACAATCCAGTTTGGCTATGATTACCATACCCGTATATCAAATTAGGTGTGGGTTCGTCCAGCGAGGGGTTGGTTCACTACTGCTGAATCTGGAATCTCTTTAAGTTTTGTTGCCGTTCACCGCCCCACTTGTGGGGTCTGGTAAAGAGCAGAGCGAGCCTTCGTCCCAGAACCCATCGGAAAATCTGAACTTGATCCCTCCTCCTCTTGCGGCTGCTTTGCTGAGCGACGGGAAAGAGATTTTCAACCTTTGAAGCTTCCCTCGCCAAAGTCGTGTTGGTTTTTGCTACTAAGGATTTGGCCGACAATGCAACGCCAGATATTATTGTAGACAATGGGAGTCAGATAGAGCGTCGTACGAACACATAGTCGCCGGATGAGTCCAGCACCGTCCGAATCTCTTACTCTGTTCAACATACCTTTCCCGCTGCCACATGACCGCAGCAGCGCTTCTCATGAGATAATCGCAGGTGGAAAAGCGACCGGGGTTGATAACGACCGTCCGTGCCTGGGCTTGTTAACACATGCCGCGACCGTCAATTGCTTCGCGAATCGACGAGAACCGCACCTCCCGGTCGAGTACCGTAAGCCTTACCATGTGTGCCAAAAAATATCACACCTGCATCCAGCATACCTCAAGAAACCTCGAGCCAAACTCCTTCGTGTGTTTCTCGAAAGCAGCAGGCCTGGCAGCTTTCGGCTGCAGCACCTTCGGCAAATTCTCGATGCGAGGAAAGGGAGATCTCTTGCGCGTTCCCTCCAGTTCGCCGTCCCCAGCAGCGCCACCGCCACTGCCATCGTTGCCACCGTCACAACGACCACCAACACTACCGCTCACATCCCTGCACCCTGTTCGGGCTCCATTTGCGCTCCCGCTAGCGTTAGCACTGCAGGGTCCTCGCTCATTGCCACGGACACCGTTGCCGCTACCACAACGACCACCAACACCACCGCTCCCGTCCCTGCAGCCTGTCGAAGCTCCGCTCGCACTCCCGCTAGGGCTAGCGCAACTGGCCCCACCTAAGTTACCGCCACCACAACCATCACCAACACCATCGCCTCCATCCCTACAGCCTGTCGGAGCCTCAATAGCACTCCCGCGCCCGCTAGCGCTAGCGTAAATGCTACGGGTTCCACCTCCGTAACCACAACCACTGCTGCTGTCGCTGCCGCTCACGAGGGCTATCGAGGGGAGTGGTAGTGGGGGCGACGGCGGCAGCTTGTCACCCCTGGCAGCAAGAGCAGCGTCGGCGGCCGCGGACCGGGCTTCTTCGGGAACGGCGGGTACCCGGTAAGATCCCGGTGTCTGTGCGGAAAGATTGGGGGTGGGGGAGGGGGGCAGTGAAATCGCAATTTAGAAAGAAAAAACTCAAAAAGTATGCCCAGTTTCTAGCCGCTTTCCCTTCACTCACTGAAAAGACTAATGCACATCCCTTTCGACTGTGTTGCGGTTACACCTCGAACTGGCAGTCTTTTGTCTTTCTGTGAGCTGATGTTTACTCTAAAAAAAAAAAAACGCCTTGGGATTGGAATATAAGAAGCCGTCTTCAAACCAACATCCGCCGCCGTTGTGCTCCAGTTGCGATTTTGAACGGGGCAGATACTATGTGGGAACATGAAGCAGCGGTCGCCATAACACCAAAGCATACCAACGCTAATGCTACTGCTGTACTTTGCTCACGAGTCGATAGCGCTCGCTGTTGTCTGCGCAGAGATGTTCCCTCAGCGCCACACACAACGCGTCCTTTATCATAATGTCTAGGTTCTGCTCCGCTCTTGCTTCGGCCCTGGCAGCGCCACTGGCAGCGCCAGCTGAAGGATCACCACGTCTCCTCAACAAAGGCCCTCCAGCGCGTGTGGGAGGAGGCCCGGAACGATGCCCATCGCCGGTGTCACCGCGATGTTGCTTGTTTCGATAGTGCTGGTGGTATCCGCGGCCGGGCCCCTGTCCCCTCCCATGCCCATGGTGTGCAGCAGGAATCCCTTGATGATTGTTGTGGTGGCAGGCCACGCTACCCGCGGACCCGCTTGATGATGCACACCGAGCGGAAGCCTGTCGCTGCGGCTGCCGCCGCCCCTCGTGACGCCAGTGCTGTTGCTGCGTGGAGATTGTAGTGATGCATCTGCTGGGAGCCGGGTCACTGCTACTGCTGTGAGAAGGTTGTGTTGGAGCGAGGTACAGGTCGTCTCCCTGCTCTTGCGTAAGCTGATCAAATTCTGCTTGCTGATCCTCCGTGAGGCCGTCGATGGAGTTCGTGGAGGTACGCGAGTGCTGTTGCTGCGTGGAGATTGTAGTGCTGCATCTGCTGGGAGCCGGGTCACTGCTACTGCTGTGAGAAGGTTGTGTTGGAGCGAGGTACAGGTCGTCTCCCTGCTCTTGCGTAAGCTGGTCAAACTCTGCTTGCTGATCCTCCGTGAGGTCGTCGATGGAGTTCATGGAGGTACGCCAGTGCTGTTGCTGCGTGGAGATTGTCGTGCCGCATCTGCTGGGAGCCGGGTCACTGCTACTGCTGTGAGAAGGTTGTGTTGGAGCGAGGTACAGGTCGTCTCCCTGCTCTTGCGTAAGCTGGTCAAATTCTGCTTGCTGATCCTCCGTGAGGCCGTCGATGGAGTTCATGGAGGTTCTCTGCTGTGCCGCCCCCGTATATCTGCATGTACATTAAAGTCCGTTGCAGTGTTTTGCCCGAGCCAACCTTGGTCGCGTGCTTGAATATTTAGTGTGCGCGCCTCCGGTACACCAAGCTGGATTCCTTCTAGAAGCACATACGACTCATGCTGCACGACCGCTTTTGCCGTGCCTACAGAAGGGAAGGAGCGGGGAGCAAGAGAGCCTCACACCTGTAGGCAGTAGGCGAGTGCGAGGCAGACACCCAGGCACCCAGACACCCAGACAAGAGAAACAAATGCGGAGTGATCATGGGGGTGACGCAACTGGTGTTCATGATTGCACTTGCACATACCGTCGTGTATGTCTGCACGAGGCCCCGGAAACTGGCTCTCTCTAAGGACTGCCCTGCTCTCTGTACACGTCTCGGTCTTGCTTGGCCAGTCTCGTGGTCTCGTCGACTCAATATCCAAATCCTTTCATTGTGTGACATGACCATGCGATTCTCTGCCTTTGGCCTCGGCCAGAGCGCGCCACCGCAGCCGCTGAAAGTGTGAGTTGAACACGTCAAAGATGTCGCGTAAAGATACGCACCCTCTCAACCGACGTCATGTTGATGCGCCGTCCGTGAGAGATGTCGAACAAAGTAATTCAAAATGACATGCAATTCACGCTCCAACTGAACGTGAGATCCTAGTGGTACTGTTCCTCCAAGAACGCAGTGTTGTGATCATGCGCCTCGATCGCCACGAAAGTTCACAACAGCATTCATTCCCCTTGAAACTCGCGTGCAGCAGGAAAAAGGAGCCTCCTCTGCCGATAGAAATCCAGCTTGGATCCAACTCGCTCGAGCTTACGCCCCAAGGCTGGAAGCTAGGTACGAAAGATTGCCGGTATTGTAATGTTACACGACAGTTGGAAACGGTGGATGTTTTGGGAAGATCCTAGTTTATACAGATCACATATATGGTCTATGTACTGTGCGGTATAGCGTACATGCCGGCGTATGTTGCGTCGAGTTTCTTGCTTAAGTCTACCCGAGGGCTCTACAGCAGGCCGGTTATAGGACCCCTCCGTCTGCACGGCATGATGTCGTGTTGAAAAGCATTGATATGTTTTCTTTAGGAGGGAAAAGTACCCGCCGACTACTGTCTACCTGTGTGCAATAGTCTACAGTAGTAGAAACGTTTGACGTGTGCTGAAATCGGTTCTGACGAATCAAACGATAACACACCCACAGATTCTCGGGAACTCGCCACCGCTCAAGGGGAGTGTAAACGATTGGAGAAGGAAGTCATGGGGCTCCGGAGAGATTTAGAGAATTGCCGGAAAGACGCGAAGCGATTGGCAGAGCAAGAGAACATGGCTACCTTTCAAAACCAGCTGCTTATCGACATGGTAAGCAAGATCAACATTAGGATAGAGCGTACGTTTATATACCGGCAAGTGATGATACCGGCGTGCGATCGTTTTGGAATCATGCCTTTCTCATTCTGTTTCATCGGATCCTGGTGACATAACTCCGAGGTTATCTATCACTCGCCCTTTCTACGATGTTTTCCCTAGACCAGATAGCAACACTACGTGTTTGCCTGCTTCCCTGAAATGCAGCGTGCCCTGCGTCGTACCTTGATCATATTGTATGTATGGCATCTACAGCCTTGGGTGACAAAAAAATCACATCGTCCACAAAACATGTCACCCCACCGAGGCAAGGGCCGAAGACCAGCTGTTATTGTGTTCTATAAACACGGGCAGAAATATCTATTGATGTGCTACTACTATCGATGCTGCGGTCGGTATTGAAGACCCTCTGACTTATGATTTGACCTACCCATTTGTTTGCGCATTTGCCGTTCGTGGTAAGGACGGCTGTTTTTTCTGCAGGCAGAGAGATGTATGACGAAGATCACCCGGTTCAATAACCCTCGTGGGAACCATTACGAGTCTATTTTACGCAAAGCCCCTCCGACACCTACTGCTTTACTCTCTCAATCGCATGCAGCTCGCTGTTGCACGTGCGGATCAGGGAATTTTCAGGACAAAACTTGAGCAGGAGAGCGCTCGACACGCGGTGCTTTCCCGAAGTTTGGAGCAAGCGTACACCAAGCTTCTTGCGGCGGGACTCGACCCAGGAGTGTCAGACGCGCCTTGAAGGGTCTGCATCTCAATTGTCTGGCTAACTTGGGAGCGTCGGTTACCACACAGCGATAACTTGCTAGACGACCGATGTTGGTCTCAGAATGGGAACTTCTGAAACACTATTTCGCGTGAAGGCCAATTGCCGTGCGTGCAATAGCATAGCCAGTCGTTTGCAGTTGTCCACGTTGTCTTCTTCAAAGTAAGTTGATATCACAACCCTGAGCACAAACAACAGAGGACGGCCCGACGCAGGCAGCTCAAAAATGCGATATGTTTCCTCATGTTCTTTCTGCCGACGACACGTAAACGCCGGAGGGTTGAATAACAGTAGATAACTCCATACATTGTTCAGTTTGGATTACATCGAACACAGCCAGGCCACGACGACCGCAGACTGGTCCGTCTTGGTCAGCCTTAAGGATATTCCTAGTTGTGCCATCCGGAACGCTACATCAGCATAGAGGATTATGGCTGGGTTGTGGCTGGGGAGAGGAAATGTACATACGAGAAGGTAAAAACGAAGGGCTGTTTTGGGAAGTAGGGATCGTTGAGTGGGGGCGGGCGGGAAGCAATCTGCCATTCCCGAGCCTCTTTTTTTTTTAGTACCAGCAACAGAAGCTGAAAGGAAGCGCAAACACTGTGATTCCAAGATATTAGCAACAGCCAAACGTAAAACAATGCATGCGTCTTGTCTCCGTCGCAACGTACGTGTGTCTAGGATTGCACAGCCCACAATATACTGCTCCGAACGCAAAGATGCGTGCAGAAGAGGCCCTGAGGTCGAATCCCTTGCAGCTCCGGCAGGCAATGCGTGAGCACCAACTTGCCAGCGCGAACGAGCGGCGACGTAACGAGATCGAGGGCCGGAACCGCTGGAAGTTCCATAGACAGGCCCGAAAAGTACGAGCCCTAAACCAACCAATACACCTTGGCCACAGCTGCGCTGAAAGCAAACCCTGTGGAGTCATGTTCTTAGCATGTCGTACGTGAGCATGACAGGCGCACTCTTTCCTCCTCCTGCTCTTGCACTGGCATCTGCCCCGAAGAGGGAGGCAGCTCCCACTGCCACGGTAACCACAGCAGCCACCGGCGATGTGGTAGGCTCGGCTTTCGACTAGGTACTATCGAACAACGGCGTCCTTTGATAGTGGTGACGGTAGTGTATTAACGACGTGTTGTCGACGCTGGCATGTGCTATAGCACCTTGTCGTTCTGTTGTGCGTTGATAAAGAATCCCGAGGAAAAATATCTCAAACGGTTCTCATTTGAAAACAGCGCTTTCGCGCCTGGTACCATGTCTTTGCAGCGAGCAAAATTGTGAAGAAAACTCTTCAAGCACCCTTAGATACTTGGCGGAGAAGCGTCTCTCCGAAACCCCCGGGGGCGACAGGCTTTCACGGCGATCAGACGACAACAACACCCGTTACGGGCTTTGGCTTTGGTGACCGCGTAGTCCATCACGTGCAAACCGCTTGAACAAGGATCCAAGAAGAACACGTAACGACAACTAGCACCAAAGTGAAAAAAATATATATTGTATACCAACACAACTCTGCATGAGCTACGCCCCCTGCCGAACCGCTGGCTGCGTTTCGGAATCCCCGCACCCACACGGAGCTACTATCCTGCGGCTCTGCAACCACCCCGTTTTTCCCCGTATCCTCCATCCTCTTTGGAAGCCACGCCGCAGACTATCACATCAAACCGTTTTCGCCACCTCGCACTCTAGGCACCGCCCGGGACGGATACGCCTACATAACACCAACTACCCTTCTCGTCGTCCTCGTAGCGGACAGCTGGAGGCGGAGACCGAGCGCGGGTCCCTCGCCGCGACCGCGAATGCCTCGCTCTTGGTGCTTTCACTGTAACATAGTGCCCACCACGGCCATGTAGTCGCGGATCTGTTGCACGGGGGGGGCAGGCGTACGTCGCGGCAGTCGTACGCGGACGGAATACCGGACGAGAAATGTGGGCGAGAGACGAAACGCCCAGGTTTAACGGGGGGGGGGGCTCGACAACGCAGAGACCTTCGGTGCTGAGACCAACACTAAGACCCTCTCGCAAGGCATGCGCGACACAGCGTACTCCCTCGCGTTCGCCTAGCTCACCGAGTGCGCGCGCGCTCGCACGCATGTGATGCTACAAAAGAAGGAACAACGCGCGCATGCATATCATGACATAAAATAAGAAGCAAAACTACACAGCTTCTAGCCCCCATTAAGAACCTTACGGCAGTACAGTACCTGATACTTCGTGACGAGCCCGCCGGTGTTGTACGGGTCCTTGTCGACGAACTGTTGGGCCTTTTCGGGGCTGGAGAAGAGGAGGACGGCACCGTCGCAGGGCTCCAAGAAGGCCCCCCCTGTGTGCGGGAAACGCGAATGACGTTACTACGGTCGAGCCAAGCACTGTTTTGTTCAGTAAGAACAGGACCACTAGGGTTGTTCACGAGCCATAATCGACACAGAATGTAGCGCAGTCTAGCAAAAACGGCGACACGTATTCCCTTGTACAGGGGTTTCTTTCACCCACGGCAAGGTTGTCACAATAGCCCTTTTAGTACAGACCAACCGGATCACCAGATCGTCACCTAGCACAGAGACTGACCTATTCACCTGCCAGTCTCGCGGAGACGCACACAAAAATCCCCTCTTGTGAAGTCAGACAAATCGGCATGAACACGGTCTAGTGAGGAGCTCACCACACTCCACTTAGCTACATAGGCGCAGCGGTTATCTACAAGGGGGGAGGACACGCAAACCGCCACCCGCCTCCACCGGCCGTAGCAGGCGTCCAATACGACGTGCATGCTCACCAAGCAGGCATGTTCCCTCTTCCGTCATGGCCTTGAGTAAGTCAAGGTGGTCCGTTCGGTATGGCCCACGCTTGTCGACCATGCCGTCCACATACGTGTACACGACCGCGGCGAGCTTTGCCGGTTCACCTGTGATTGATTTGAACGGGAGGGGTGGACGCCGGCGAAGAGCAATGGGGTTACGTGTTAAGCATCCTTGGTTTACGTGATATTTCTGGCAGGGCTCTCGCCCCCGCCCGCTGCATGCTGGCACGTGGGAAACATCCAGCCGCTGCAGGAACGAGATCACAGTTGCGATGACAATAATGGGTAAAACTGGAGATCACAGGAGATCACAGCTTTCTTAACCAAATAGTGTGGATCTGCCCCCTGAAATCGCACGTATCTTGACACCAGAACTTGTAGCAGCGCGACGGTCCTTCGTTGTGTCCAGAGCACGCCATGGTCACATATCCACCAAGCAACAGACATGCCCAGCACTACCATCAAGCAGGCTCTACTGGCGAATGTACGCCTGACTCCGTATTTTATGCACGCTGCAGGTTCGGCCAGGGGAATTTCCTTCGACAGCTAAGTCGCGTGCCACCTCCTTACCTTTAGTCGCGCTCCCGTCAGCGCTCATGGAAAGGCTGCCGCTGCCGCCGCTGTTCGGTCGGATGCTGCAACCGCGACTGTGCCCATCGATTTTCGATACGGCGGAGCCGCCGGCCAGCGGCAGCGAGGCGGACGGGGCTACGAACGCATCGCAAACGCCGGCGATCAGGGCGACCAACGCCAGAGCAAGCCACGCTGCCGTTTAAATGTGGGCGTTTGCAACAAGTCAAAACATACTCCAAGGAGCGAGGCTGTGTGTTGAGGTGCCTCAGCAGGTGACATGTCTCAAGACTTAGAAGTGGGTGTGTAGCCGAAGAGCCACATCGCTGCCGTGCTGAGCATACATGTCGTTGCTACGTGCATCGGTTATCGACGACGTGTCGAGATGCTCCGCCCAACATTCAGCAGTATGACAGAGACTTCACGCACTGAACCAAGAAGTATTCAGCATGCACGCATACACCTTGACACAACGGCTTATTGCATGGATTGGCGTGATGCACTACATACCCTGCCTCGTTTTCCGCCCGATGGCAAAACAAACAGCAACAGAGGACACCTCCTCGTCCACATAGGGCATCCCCTCTGGTCACAAAATCTCGCATGGTGGGGGGTGGCCCAGAGAGGAGGCGACCACAACGTGGGCATGATCTCATGTCGTTGCAGCTTCATGCAGGATGCAAGATCGACCTCACCACTGAAGTTCCGCACGGTCCCTCGGCTTGCCACTCCAAGCAACCCTGTACGCAGCGCGTGTGCCATTGTCCTAAGATAATCTGGTAGTAGGACGAAGACTGCAGTGCGTGCGGGAGCTGTGAGCCCTCTCTCCTACTGCTGTCTCCAATACCCCGGGGGTGATAGGGAAACATCCCCTGATTTCGACAGTCCCGTGTCCTTGACGTGCATGCACACGCAGCGTCGGCTTGGGTACAAATGCCATGTGGATCACGGCGTGGGCTTTGCCCTTCGCCATTTCCGCCACGCATGCCCTCCATTGCAGCGCGATAGCTACGCTGCCGAGGATTTCGTCACGAGGAAACCCGGGCGCCAGTGTGAGGAAGGCAATTGGCAGGAACAGGAGCAGGAGCGGCGCCTTGAATCATGCCGCAGTTGCAGCAGCTTCTCCCCGTAGGCCGCCGCTGCAAGCCCCCTTGACCGTTGCGATCCTCCTAGAGTCTCTTGGAGACGTACCTCAGCGGACCTTGCGGCACCTTGCTGCAAGCCCTCCGGCTTCCCAGCTCGAGCGGACCCTGTCCGGGAGCGGTGCTCGAGCGTCGCGAGCCCAGGCGAAGCTGCGAGGGCTGCTGGAAGCGGTGAAATCGGTAGTGGTTGGGGGGCAGGAGCAGGATGATGGCCTTGCTTCTGCTGCTACGAGGGTGGTGGCAGGGTGCCCAGCGTTGTTGCTGCTCGACGGGAAGAAATTGCTGGACCGGGCTACGCAGCTTCGAGACATGGTGAGAGTTTTATGTGTGTATGCCGTTATGTAAATTACCGAGACGCATTGCTACACGTAAGTTGTAATTTGCTTTTACTTCGGTAGGGAGGTCGCAAACGCGAGGTGCGGGTACTATTATTGTAACTGCCTTCCCACGTTGTTACCTTCCTACAATACGCACATACGCCATCAGAAATGAATTCATCGGTAACAGCTGAAACCCTTGGGGCGTCACTCGCAGCCTCCACTTGTAGCCTTGTGCGGTGGAAAATGAAGGAATGAGGCCATGTTTACTATCGTCTGCAGGTTTGTCAGATCGAGACATCCTTACGGTGATGACGTTTTTTGTTTTGCTTCGTTGCGTGATGGGACGCTGGCTTGTTGCAGGAAGGAGTCACGGAGGAGACTGCCGCACAGCTGGCGGTCGAGTACCCGGGATACTTCACCTTGCCACCCGCGGCGAGAGCGAGAATCGGATTCTTCGTGGGGCAGGTGCGCTTCGAAGTCAGGGGTGTCGATCTATTTATGGCATTTGTCAAGGAGAAAGTATGAGGGAGCGCTCCCTCCTGTACTCTATGCAAGCAAGTGTAGGTTGCATTGTGGAGCCATCCCTGTTTGCAAAAATAATTTCACGAAGTCATTCCGCCTGATGCCATGCAGCCGCAATGATGGGCGGCGCAGAACGAGAAGGAGAATAGGGGGGCCATCCTGAATGTTCAGAACTCGTTTCGTTGTTTTCCTGAACGTTCACGGTGTGCTTTGTCTGGGCATGCATGAGACGTGCACGTCCGTGGATTTTTTGAACATGTTTGTCGACCGTGTTCTTGAGGTATGGAATATATCTCACCCCTAGCTCTACCCATTCACCTCTAATCATGTCAACTCAACCGCGTATCTACATGGGTTGGCGTTTGGGAATTTCCTGCGTTTGAAACTTGCGGTAATACCCTGTCAGGCTCAACTTGGGATGTCTTCAAAAACCTGAGCAGGTGGGGCTAACGGCGAAGGATGTGGGTCGGCTGGCGAAGCGACGTCCGGACGTGATAGAAAACATCGGCGGGGGGCATGTTCACCGACTCGTGGACTTGTTGTTGGAAGACCTCCACATTGGCAAGGTGATATTGTGGCGTGGGACGTGACGACTTTGCCCCTGCCCGCCCCCTCCCACACGTTCTTTGGGCTTATCACAGCAAGAACACCACCGGTTTTGTCGTGTGCATCGAGCGTTGGGGGGGGGTAGGGGGCAGTAATGTTCGGCCATGCGTTATCGGACGCACACCGCCGGCCCATGGATGGGCACGTGTGGCCAAAGCGAGAAAGCGGTGGAGGGGGACTGATCCCCGCTCCCGAAATGGCTTATTTTCTATGGCACCACCACCGTGACTCTTTGGCTGGACCGCAATGCCGCGGCTTTTGTGATCAGGCAGTGGTGCGCGGGTTAGGCCGGGTGACCACGTACATGCCTCGTAGGACAGGAGCAGTCACGCTTTTCGGGGTGGCGGGCGGTGGGGGACGACGGCTCAGTAGGGTGCGTTGCTCCCGGCACTGGAGTTAAGGGTAGGTTGTCGAGGAAGAGCATGCACTCTATTTGCTACCCGAGCCTCGTGCCGAGAGCCTTTGCCGACAGGAAACGGATGCCCTTACAAGCTCTGCCCTCGTTCGTGATCGACCCTCTTATCGCCCTCCCTTCGTGGTCCTCGATTTCGGCTTTCAACCATCTGCCCGTAGGCGGCGCTTTCACGGATGGTTCGGCGCCAGCCTGGGCTTCTGTCTCTCGGCGTGTCCGGGCACGTCCTGGAAGTGACGGAGTTCTTCAAGAAGGAAATGGGGCTCAAGGCAGACCAGATTTCGAAGATTTACTGCTCGAACCCGCACGTGAGGGATATATAGAGAGAGTCAGGCAGAGAGAGAGAGAGACAGAGAGAGACAGAGACAGAGACAAAGAGACAGAGAGACAGAGAGACAGAGAGACAGAGAGAGAGAGGAAGAGCAAGACCGAGGCAGACACCCAACGAAAGAGACGATGTGCTTCAGAGACGAATATCTAGTTGCGGGATATGATGCACTTTCAAGCCCTATATTTTTGCCAGGACGGTCGAAGTTGGACAAAGTTTGGCCGATCACGGGCACGTCAGCTAGTGGGCTGGAATGCTGCCGGAGAAAGCTTGGTGGGTCTTTCGGGAACAAGGCACAATGCCGTTTCGTCGTAGACCTTGGCGCACTGAAACCCTTTGAGGTGTGCACCGCCGCCATATCCCGAACCTTCGAAAGAGCCTTGGGCACTGGACACAGTCATGGACGGTGTGATTGGAACAAGCCGTGTGTGGATACGTAACGTGGAGACCCCAATCCCTCACCACAACATCTCACGTGTTCGCCTCTTTGGCCTAGCAGGTGCTCTGCCTAAGCCTCGAGAAGAACATCCGGCCCGTGGTGGACTGGCTTGGTGCCCCAGACCCCGAAGCGCAGCAGCAGCAGCAGCAGCAGCAGCAGCAGCAGCAGCAGCGCCGGGAAGGTTCACCTTCTTATTCGGGAGCAAGATTCGAAGCAAAAACCCGCCCGTCGCCGTCGAGCCATCCCCCGCCGGTTACCGCTGCGACAAACGGAGGGGGCGGCGGCGGTTCCGCTAGCGTTCGACTAACGATAAGCTCGTCTGGTTTGGACCGGAAGAGTGGCCGAGACCGCATCGCTGCCGCCACCACCGCAGGATTCCCAGATGACGCGGGAGAGTTGACGCTAAGCAGGGCAGGGAGAGAAGAGGTTGCGGCGGTAGGGCAGGGGGCTGGCCCGGAGCCGCAGCGAGCAGAGTCAACGCTGGCGGTGCCGGTGTACAAGGAGGGGGGTGGGTGGGACTGGGGGCTAGGGTTTGGCCGCGAGGAGCGCGGGAAGATCGTTTGCAAGCAGGGGGACCTGTTGTGGAAGAGCGTCGTTGGCAACCTCGCCAAGTCGGCGGCTTGGTTCGTTGAGGAGGTCGGGCTGAGCTGGGATGAGATGCGCAAGGTGATCATTTGTTTTTTAAACCAACAACCAGAAACGGGTATACCCGGGTACTTTATCACCACTTTAGGGTACAGTTAGAAATCAACACGCTTGCACCCCCAGGCTGTCAGCTGATTGGCCGAAAAACCATTGTACCCATTTCTGAACAAACCTCCATCGGGCACAACTTCCGCTGGAATTAGGACACTCTGGTGTGACCGATTTTGGTTACCGGTGTACCCGGAAGAGGTCGATTTTGTACCCAGAAATGGTCATATAATCCCGGCGCCCAACGCTCTAGCATAAAAACCGCAGAAAAAAACGTGTACTGCACATACCGTGTACCGCACATACATACATAACCACAACCAAACCACCAACAACGCTCGCTTGTTCATCGTTCATGGGCACCGCCTCCATTGGATACCGGCCCCTCTCAACAGAGGGTCGGACTCGCTTGACGCGCGAGTACTTCGGTGTGGTACTGATCAGTAAAAGGACAGAGAGAGAGAGGCACAGNATTTTGTACCCAGAAATGGTCATATAATCCCGGCGCCCAACGCTCTAGCATAAAAACCGCAGAAAAAAACGTGTACTGCACATACCGTGTACCGCACATACATACATAACCACAACCAAACCACCAACAACGCTCGCTTGTTCATCGTTCATGGGCACCGCCTCCATTGGATACCGGCCCCTCTCAACAGAGGGTCGGACTCGCTTGACGCGCGAGTACTTCGGTGTGGTACTGATCAGTAAAAGGACAGAGAGAGAGAGGCACAGACAGAGAGAAAAACGGGCACGACCTGCCTCGTGCATCATGCTTCCGAGGCACAGGACACAGGACACAGGCAGCGGTTTATTGGTTTCGCCGCGATCTACGGCGGATGCTGTCTGAGATTGGTGTCATGTTGATTTCCAAGTGCACCCTGAAATGGTGATAATCCACCCGGGTATACCCGTTTCTGGTTACTTCTCTTTTTTTTAGTTGGTTGGAGTGCCAAATTCACTCTACTTCACCCCGAGAAAAGGAAAGTTGCACCGCTTTCTATCGCCGTGTATTGTGTTGGGAGTATTTTTGGACGCGAAAGCACTGCCACACACGCACAAAACAAAGCGAAACAAGCTCAAGGATCAAGCCTTTGCTGTCGCTGCACGGGAACAACAAGGGGCATCCGGTGCTGCTGTCCCAGCTGAGTCCGTTTCCCCATGCCGCTCCATGCTCATCCTAAACTTTTTTTTCTACCGCTCCCCGCCTGCTCTCGACCGTCGATGCTCACGTTCGGATTATTCAACAAAACCAGGTAGTGGAAAGGTCGCCATCACTTCTGTGCCTAAGCGCGGAACACAACCTAGAGCCCAAGCTAGCGTTCTTAGTGAACGAGCTCGGCTTGGACCCTGGGTCAGTCAGGAAGGTTTGTGTGTGTGACTTGTCTTTGCCGACACGTGGACGTCGTCGTCCTCCTGGGGCAGTGATGTTCTTTTGTTGTTTGTTTTTCGCTGCTCGAATCGTTCCAAAGGGCACTCAGTTTTTTGGCGGTGGCATGATGGGGTTACAGTCGTCGCTCCTTACAAGAGGGTGCCTCATAAGAGGGGCCTCCGATATACGGGGGTCGAGGGCCTCTGTCATATGCATATCACCCTCTTTATGTCGGAGCCGCGACTGCCGTGTTTATTGTTGCTGCTGTAGCGGGGTTATCCTGGAGGCCGGTAGTGCTCTCTCTTTTTCACCGGTGCTGCTGTTGGTGCTGAAAATGTTTTGGCCCGTGGGGTGCTGCAGAGGGATCTTTCCCACAGGTGAACCGATGGCTCCCGGCATGAGGGGGCTTACATTATGTCGCTCGTATGTGTATCTCTATGTCTATCTCCCGTCTTCTTCCTGTAGCTTCTCTCACNAAGAGACCCAACTTTTCTTGCTCTCGTGTTTGCCCGCCCTACCGCCCATCCTAACCCCCCCACCCACCCCGCTGGGCCGGCGAAAAACTGGCATTTTCCGTCCGTCCCGGCACCGTCCAACGACTATAGCATGCATTTACTTGAGCACCCCCCCCCCCCCCCCCCCCCCCCCCCCCCCCCCCCCCCCCCCCCCCCCCCCCCCCCCCCCCCCCCCCCCCCC